AGTTCCATAGCTTTGCCGTTCTATGGACAAACGATATTTGGTGAAGAGTAGTTCGACATATTTCAAGATTGACGACGAGAGGATGTGCTGACTGGGCTTGTCGAGTAATGTCTGACTGGTGTTGCTATATTAATGGAATGATAGCAGAGATTTCTGGAGAACATATCCCGTGAAAGTATCTATCTTCTTCATTACAGGCGATGTCTGTCGCTATCGCTTGGTAGAGAAGCCGTTTTTAACTCAAACAAATATTCCATCAAAGGTGAATTTTATACGCTAAATGTCCATTGTTCCACTTCAGGAATGATGAAAAATCCATTGCCCACTGTTCCCGCTTTGGAACATTGGAGATTATTTGGTTTACAAAGTGAAAAAGTTATTTATTCAGTGAATGCATTTTTGTTATTGAGCAATATTGTTCAGAATTTCGAGAAAAACGCTTGCAGGGGACCTTTGGCAGGGACACATCACTTGCTGAATGACAAATAATGATGAAGCTGCTGTTTCTATCTCTAGTAAGATTACCTAGATATGGCGCCATATATTAGTTTTGAGCATAGACATCATTGTTCCAGTTTAGGAAAAGTGGTCTATTGATAAAAAAAATAAGTTTTCAAACTTCAAAACACTTCCAGGCATTTCTTTTCAGTGTTCCTAATTAGGAACATGAACCGTTAAGAGGTTAAAGACATAAGACATGCTAATATTTAAGGGGATGATTCTTTGTTGAAGTTTTGAAAAATAGTTTTTTTTTTATAATAACTGAGACAATATTGTATACATCTTCATGGAATTTGGTACGCGTCTTTTATACATCAAGGTGCATTTTTTGATGTACAAAAATTTTCATTTGTCTACCAGTGGAACTGTTACGGAAATAGTATTGTTTATATTCTACTTAAAAGTGAGCAACGACGAAGAATTTCGTACAATGCTATAAAAGGCTAGTTAATTATGTACGAAAAAGATAATCTTGTTGATTCTCATCGATATCTGAAATTATCATGTTGGGGATGCAAACCTATATACATACCGAACACTGCAAGGAGAACATCTTTCGATAAGGCCTGGTTTAGTAGAAACTGCTCTAGAGCTGTCGCTTCCAAACAGGCAGCGTTCCATCGATGGCAGAAAAATCCAGGCCCTGAGACTAGAGCTGAATATGTCGAGGCTAGAGGCATATGCAATATGAGACAATTTAATGATCAAAGGATGCTCATAAGGCCAAAATAAGATCAAAACTTGTTGAATGTCCTAACTGATCCCGTTCATTTTGGTCCTTCGGCCTTCGAAAAAGCTGTAGGAAGAAACTTCACTACCAGCTCGTTTCTTCCTCTAACCAAGGAACACTAGACACAACTGCCCAGGAAGAAGCAACATTTTTGCGCATTTATTTGATGGAAATTCTGCTCTGGATTGGCTCTCAACACCAACAAAGCTTGTGGTTCCGACGGAATCCCACCGATTGTCCTCAAGAAATGTGCTCCCGAACTAACACCTGTTCTCTGCAAGTTGTTCGACTATTCTTATACAGTAGGGATATTCCCGTTCAACTGGAAAATTGCAAGAGTACAACCAGTTCCTAAAAAAGGCAAAAAGACCCTACCTCACAACTACAGACCGATCGCACTGCTATCTATTATTTCAAAGATCATGGAGAAAGCTATCAACGTCGAGCTCATGAAATACCTGGAACATTCAGGTATTATCAACGATAGGCAATATGGCTTCCGTCATCAGAGATCAACTGATGGTAACCTGCTCGCTTACGTCTGACATATATGGCAGCAATCTATTGAGAAATATGGTGAAACCTTAGCTGTGGCACTTGATTACTCCAAGGCATTCGATCGAGTCTGGCACCACGGACTCCTCGCCAAGCTTTCATCTTATGGCTTGCCTCCCCAGCTATGTTCTCTGCTAGCTAGTTCTCTCTCAACCAGGTATCTCCATGTAGTGGTCGGGGGGTCCGGCTCTCTTATCATGAATGCTGGTGTTCCGGAAGGATCAATTCTAGCACCAACACTATTTCTACTCCATATCAACGATTTGTTGGAAGCAACTTCATGTCCAGTACACGCAACTTCGCGGATGATAGTACCCAACCCATACCGCCTTCTCTTCCAGGGCTCCAATACCAGCCAGGCAAATCAGAAACGAACGAGGGAGAAATCTTGACAACATAAATATGGACTTGGCAACAATTCTCGAATGGGGATCAGAACTATTCTGTTCCTGAGTACTGATTTTTTATCGAAAATGTTAGTTTTTTAAGATGTGCACCTTATGACAGCTGATAAAAGAAAAAGTATCGATTTGTCACTAAAACACCAATTGTATATTTTGAAGAACTCGTCGAGCGCTACTCAGAACTTCCATCAGAACTGTCCTGTTCTTTGGAATAAATTTTTCACCTTATGACAGCTGATTTTTTTCTTCGTTTTTTTCAGATTTCGCATTTCCTAATGATCCTCCTCCTTTTTCCTCGATAGCTTTTTCTTCAATACGAAACAGAAGGGAATAGTATTTCACCAAGAAATGCTGGCTATAGGAAAACATTTTCGTATTTAATTTCCTTAAATTATTTGATAATTTCCTTAGTTTACCAGAACTATTGATGAAATAGGTGTAGAACTCCAGAACTCTTTATAATACAACAAAAAAATATATCAGAACTCATTTTCTCGAAAAAACGGCGCTGCGAGAAGTTAGCGCTCAAAATTTATTTTTTCCAATATGACACCTACGATTTGCTGGAACTATTCAAAATTTCAGTCAGGAACTCTAGAACTCTATCAAATCTACTCAGAACTAAAAAAAAAAATTGAGTTTTTTCGAAAAAAACGGCGCCAACTTCACATGAGTCAATATCTACATTAAATTACGGTATACCGGATTAACTTGAAAGAGTTGATATCAAATACATATTATTACTTACTAAGAAAACAAATTCAACAGTGGTGAACTATTGAGGTCTAATTGATCATTGAGTAAAATGTCAAAATTTTTGAGTTTGTTGATTTCTAATGATTCAAAATGATTGAGTTTCAGACCTTTATTTTCTATGTGCAGAATTTCAAAATTATCATCAAAACTATGGTTTTCTTCTAATATATGGTTGGCGTATGATGAATTTGTTTTCTTTTTCATAAAATTCATCTTATGTTCATGAATGCGCTGATTAAACGTACGACCTGTCTGACCGATATATACCTTAGGACAAGATCCACATTTGAGTTTGTATACCCCTGATTTTTCGAATTTAGAAGTTTTGTCTTTATTATTCTTGATAAACCGTCCCAACGTGTTATTTGTTCTATATGCCACTTTTAAGTCCTGTTTATGTAGAAATGAAGCTAATTTCTCAGTTGATGATCCGAAATAGGTTAAAGTTCTATAATTTTTATTATTATTCTTGATGGTAGGATAAACTTCTTGAATAGCTTTATGATGAAGTTTTTTAGAAAGAATACTGTCTATCAAATTAACGTTGTATCCGTTGTTGACTGCAATCTGTTTTATGATATTGAGTTCTTTATTGAAATTTACTTCCGAAAGAGGGACATTCACTAGCCTTTGTATCATACTATTATATGCTGCAATTTTATGTTGATAAGGGTGTGTTGAATTATTATGAATAGTGATATCAGTATGGGAAGGTTTATGGAAAATTGAAAGATCATGTTTATCGTTAATTTTACTTATTGTCAAATCTAAGAAATTGATTGAATTCAGTATATCACCTGCCGAAGCTACTGTGTTAGCGAAACATGTCGTGTGTTTAATAAATTTTGTGGAAATCTTATCGTTTGTGAAGTTTTTACATTTATCATGGATTTCCATCAAGTAACGGCCGAGTCAATTCAAAAAGAGATCATCTTTATTTTGTGACTAGTGTTTTCTTAATAATGCTAACAGACATTCAAAGTTTGATAAAATTGTAATACAAAATCATTTGGCAGTGGAAACAAACGAATTGACATTTGTATTGATGAAGGTGGGAGTCATATTGAACATTATTTAAAAAAAAAAAAAACAACGTTCTGCCTTTGTTTCCACTGCCAACTAAATTTGTCATCATGATATTAAACTTTTACCATGCATGGATATCTGTGAGCATTATTTAGGAAAACATTCTTTTCTTCGGAACTATGCGGAATACGAAATTTCCACAAGGGGCCGGGGCAAAATGAAAATAATTAATCAGTCACCTTGGTCAGAAAACTACCCCTAAGAATGTTCAGAAAAAAAATTCAGGGGGTGAGGGTGGTTTCAACCCTTCTACAATTTCTTCTGGGTTTCTCTGATTAGCTAAAGGAGGATAATCATCTAAAATGCACTTTCGTCAAATTTCATCCAATTTTTGTTACACCCATTTTTGAACAGTGTACAAAAATGTGCTTTTTTATATTTTGAACTCGTCCCACGGACAGACGGTACATTTTGTTATATGAATAAGTTGGGTCCAATCAAATTATTTTGACTTTTATTACACGTGGGTAGCTCTGTGTCCCAGCAATTTTGGGACACCCTGTACATTATTGGATCAATGAGAACTACACTCCGTCCTGTAATACAGCCCGCCGAGCGAACTACGTCTCGTTATTGAATACTACGAATTAGCACATGCGCAACGATTGTTTACAAGTTATGCTCGGTCGCTTCATCAGAAACGAAACTCGAAAGAGAGATCGATATACGTACGAGCGTAGCGCGAGAAAGAGACGGCGCTGTCGAAGCATTTTGGCATCCAAACTCCAAACAGTTTAGTATTAGTAGTTTTAGTGCAACGGCAGCAGAATATACGTCGTCCACAAAATTCACAGGAGACTGATACACGAAGAATTTCTGGTGTAATCAATTGGTGAATGTAGTTCTTCATGAAAAGTAAATAGTGTTTGTGATCCAGGTGGTCAGGGGAATCATAAATTCATAAATTCGTGGTGCGTGTGGAAGTGTTTTGGTTTTGCGTAGTTGCGCGTTGCGCCATAAGGCCAGATCGGGGGTGTCTGGCTGGCATGAACGCGGACGTGTTTTTCCAAACAAACGCCTTTCGTTGACCTATAAAATACGTGTTTGGGTGGTAATGCGCATGAAGAAAGTCGACAGTGTGCCCTTGGCGAACATGTTGCACACGGTAATTAGCGTAGTCGTAATCGTAAGCGTGTGATCCTGATCAAGTGATCATGTCCGCGAGGAACGAGGGTGCGATCAGCCGCGGGGGTGAGGTTCTTCGTTGCGGGCTGCTCAAGATTCTCAAGAAGCTGAAAACCTCGCGGAAAAAGTGGTTCGTTTTGAGGGCGGAAACGGCGGAATCCTCGGCCAGGCTGGAGTATTATGACAGCGAGAAGAAGTTCCACAATGGCCAGGCGGCCAAGCGGAGCATCCAGTTAAAAACGTGCTTCAACATCAATAAGCGGCACGACACCAAGCACAAGCACGTGATCGCCCTTTACACCAAAGACGATTGTTTTTGCGTGGTGCTGGACTCTGAGGAGGAGTTGGAATCGTGGTTAAAGACCTTGTTGTCTCTGCAGCATGGAGAGGAGGCTGCAGATGGGGAAACTCCTAGACCCACGTTCGGTAAGAAAAACAACAAGTAGACATACTTAGATTGGGTGGATTATTTTTGAAACCAAGAAAAATAGTAGGTCTTGTAAAATAAAGAGAATATAACTATGGTGAAAGGAGATAGTACTTTACCTAACAAGTGCGAAAAAGTCACTTTACGCACTATGTTCCATGCACTATTTTTTCTACTGGCGTGCGGAAGAAACCCAAAATTCAAGAAGAATCATTTTTTATTATTAAATATTCAAATGTCAGTATACTCCCCCATATACTCCCCCAGAAACTTTTTTCCGCACTAGTGCTGAAAAGTGGACTTTTACTCAAGCTAGTTTAAAACAATTTATATGAGGTCGGGAAGTGGAAGGGGGTGAGTTTTTAAGGGTGAACTATGGATTACCTCCATTTCCGGCAAAAACTACAAGTCCTATGGGAAAAAGATTAATGTGAAAGTTGTAGGTATAATAAAAAGATCTATAACTTTTGTTCCTTCACTTTTTCCACATTACCTCAAAAGTTATGTGAAAAATTCAAATAGGGTAACCATGTTTTTAGTTATTTGGTTTTATTTCGGGTTTTATCTCAGGTCTTATCTTCCACAAAATAAATTTTCTATAGGAAATCTTGTGATTTGAAATATTCGTTTTTTCACCTTATTTTGACTTGATATGGAAAAAGTACCCTAATTTTCAATAAAAAATTCTTATGTCAAAATAGGTATCTGCTTTTTCGAAAAAGTCCTTGGGTTTTTTGCTCCTTGAAATCTCTATTTTCTGATAGTGTAAAAGATATATATACAGTAAAAATGAGTAAAAATGGGTAAAACTGCATTTAGCATGCCATGGGTTTTTTTTCGAAATTTTTGTTCTGGTACTTATGTATTTTTGTCTGAAAAACACGAATTTGATAATGAAAATGTGAACAAACCATTATTTATTAAGATATTTCACTATAAAGTTACAAATTTCATCTTTTTTCCGCCTGTCTTCTATATGGATTGCATTTAAAACAATTTGCCCTTCTTTTTTCATCATTGGACAATTTATATATATATCACAATGTAAGACACATTTTTTCGAAATTTTTGTTCTGGTACTTATGTATTTTTGTCTGAAAAACACGAATTTGATAATGAAAATGTGAACAAACCATTATTTATTAAGATATTTCACTATAAAGTTACAAATTTCATCTTTTTTCCGCCTGTCTTCTTTCTGGATTGCATTTAAAACAATTTGCCCTTCTTTTTTCATCATTGGACAATTTATATATATATCACAATGTAAGACACATTTTTTTCTATTATTGAGTCAACTAGAAAGAAATATGATTTACTTGTGATTTATCCATATTTAGTGAATAGAAGGAAGAATATCATTTGAAATAATGGCATGTGTAATGTCATTCAAAAGCATTGTTGACATTTGACATCTTGTATTTGGATTGACTATTAATTAAATGGCCGTCATCTGCTTTTTCACTAAATATGAAAAACTCACTATAAAAATCATATTTCCTGTTGAATTTCCTGTATAATAAATTAAAAGTAAAAAAAAAAACTTTTTAATAAAAACCTTTTATTTAAACGCTCTAAAAAGAAGAAAATAATTTTTTTTAAATAATTTTAACTATCAACTTATATCCTCATTATACACAATTTGTATGATCATAAAAGTTTGTCACATGATTCACTTGTGTGAATGAACTAGTACTTATTTAATTATGTAAAATCTGCTGAGATAAAATTTTTAAAATTACAATTTAATTAAATATTAAATTGTGTATAATGAGGTTATAAGTTGATAGTTAAAATTATTGAGAAAAATTTTATTTTCTTCTTTTTAGAGCGTTTAAATAAAAGCTTTTTATTAAAAAGTTTTTTTTTTACTTTTATTTTATTTTTTAATTTTTAGTTATTGCTAGCTGGATTTTTAGATTTACTCTCAACGAGCCTTTTCATTTGATACCCATATTGTAGAAATATATTGAAAATGACCATTCCGCCATCTTAGATGGTCCGCCATAATGGATTTAGAATGACGTCACATCATTTTTCGAGTTACTCTCAACGAGCCTTTCCATTTGATACCCATATTGTAGAAGTATATTAAAAATATCTACTCCGCCATCTTGGATGGTCCGCCATATTGGATTCAGAATAACGTCACATTATTTTTCGAATTACTCTCAACGAGCCCTTTCATTTGATACCCATATTGTAGAATTAGATTAAAAATGACCATTCCGCCATCTTGGATGGTCCGCCATATTCGATTTAGAATGACGTCACATCATTTTTCGAGTTACTATCAACGAGCCTTTTCATTTGATACCCATATTGTAAAAATATATCAAAAATAGCTATTCCGCCATCTTGGATGGTCCGCCATATTGGATTTAGAATAACGTCACATTATTTTTCGAATTACTCTCAACGAGCCCTTTCATTTGATACCCATATTGTAGAAGTAGATTAAAAATTACCATTCCGCCATCTTGGATGGTCCGCCATATTCGATTTAGAATGACGTCATTTTTCGAGTTACTCTCAACGAGCCTTCCCATTTGATACCCATATTGTAAAAGTATATAAAAAATAGCTATTCCGCCATCTTGGATTGTTCGCCATATTGGATTTAGAATAACGTGACACACCT